AATAAAAAAAAAAAAAAGCTGTGTCTAAGGGTATACTTCTCTGTTCGAGTTATTTTCCTTTATTATTTTTAAATTGCTTGAAACGAGTCCACTGTTCCAATGATAGCATACTTTTCTACTAGCGGAGATCCATGTACGTACAATCCGAATCATGTGGCTTGGTAATTAGTGTCAGGGTGAGTAGTTTGTGAGGCCCTAGACAAATGCGGCTTGTTCTTTTGGCTTAAAACTATTTTGCTGTAGGGGAAGCTGTCGAGGCAATTATAATTGCAAAACCTGAAACATCTGCTTGTTCATGGCTTCTAAAACTCGAGTATATCCCTATAACGAATATTTTAACTTCCAGTGGGACTTCTCGAGTATATATCACAAGAAAAAGCTGGTTCTCTTTGGTTCGACGATATGGGAAGATGGCGCGTGCGAACTAGTAGTTTAGTAGTGGTTGAGCTTACTACTAAAAGCACTACACAGTATTAGGGTGTGCGATTTGGCTGTCTTCCTGGCATGATATCAGAGCTATATACACTTTATCTACCCTTGAGATTGAAATCAGATGTGTTCAAGTCATGTATGAATCTCGTTCTCTGTAGTTCTCATGATCATATTGACCGCTTTCAACCGAGGTACTTTGGCCAGTAGCGATGCCAACCTGCGGTGTGGTTAGCATGTTGAAACATGCTTTTATTACTCTCGGCCAGAAACACATAACTGAACAAAGGTAATCTATCCAACAAGAAATTGCGTGTTTCACCGGACCGACAGGAAGATTTATTATGATATGCATTTCCTATGCAACCGAGTCGACGCCTCCTACTAAACTTATTTACAGTGGACACTAACGCTTCTTGGCACAGGTCATCAGGTCTCCACCGCCCAAAACACTGACTTTCTCAGGGAGCATACGTTTGATTACTTCGTCCACCTGCATACAGTCTTCGCTCTCCAATTCTCAACTGATGCTAAACACTCACTCGTGGTGAGAACGAGAACTAGCGACGCACGATGCCTCCGAAGTCCGTGAAACCAACCAGCGATGAGCTTCTCGCTCAATTTGACGACCTAGGGGTCGACTCGGCCACGGATCAGCCTGCCTCCAAGCCAGCTACCACGGCGCAAACTGAAGACGACATTCTTGCCGAACTGGATAACCTAGCTTCCCAGCGTCCGAGCAGTGGGCCCGGGACCCCGCGTCTATCGACAAATGAGCCCAGGCCGGCCGTCAAATCCCCTCAACCTGCTGCAGCTACACCCTCAACTGGGCGTTCCAGTGAGGAGAAACCCGTGCCCCGTAAGTCCACGGAGAGTGCCCGGGTTTCGTTTGCGGTCGACAAAGATGCGGATGTGCAGTCATCCAAGACCGAGAAACCAGCAGCCAAAGAGTCCGCCTCGAGCGGTGGTGGTGGATGGTGGGGAGGCATTTTCGCAACTGCGACCGCGACTGCCAGTGCTGCAATGAAGCAGGCTGAAGCGGCAGTGAAAGAAATTCAACAGAATGAAGAAGCCCAGAAATGGGCTCAGCAGGTGAAAGGGAATGTCGGCGCTCTGAAAGACTTCGGTATGTACCGTCCACTTACAGCTGGCACGATTTCTTGCTCACGAATGTTATCAAGGTGGTGAGCTTCGAAACATGGCCATTCCTACGTTTACCAATCTTATCCACACTCTCGCCCCCCCGATCTCATCTCATGAACGCCTTCAAATCCACATCACGCACGATATCTCGGGGTACCCCGCCATTGATCCGCTTGTTTACGCTGTCTTCGCTCGTGTGATGTCCCAGGTAGAAGGTGGAGATCTTCTTGTGATCCAACGTGGTCAAGAATCTGCGCCAAAACGGGGGTTGGATATAACGGGTAGCCAGTCTACCCCTGGCTGGCGCGACGGCCCATGGTGGCGCACAGTTATGCCTGGAACCCCTCGCAGCATCTCGGCCGTGCCTGGCTCTGTAGAGGCTAGCAAGCTCGCTCGCGCAAGCGCAGAGTCTTACGCTACCGAGTTCTTCTCTGCCAAGGGTGGAGTTGAAGAAGCTGCGAAACAAGCTAGCCAGGTTCTGAGCGAATCCAACCCTGTTCGGAGCAGTGATATCTTCCTCGCCATCCAGGCGATTAGCCAACCTTCCTCCACCGAGCAGTTCCGGGCTGGTCCAACCACTGACAAGGCGACCCCGCCGGGCGTAGTTGATGCTCCCAGCGCTACGGAAGAGGAGGTGACCTTCGCTCTCTATCTCCATGACCCCATTCACGGCATCGCTTCCACACCATTTCCCAGGCGGTTCCACAGAAATGGATTGACTGGCTCGATGCAGCTGTTCCAGCCACCGAAGACCCTGCAGCCGATGACATGTGGCACCGAGCTCCTGTTCCAGAAGACATTGCGGAGATCATCGAAAGTGGCGGCGTTGACCCTCGTGAATGGGCTGCTGAATGGATCGAAGAAGCGCTCACTTTAGCTATCGGCGTGGTGGCGCAACGCTATGTGGCCCGGAGAATGGGGGTTGGAGAGGCGGGAGCCGCAAAGGGCAAGATGCGCGCTGAGCAGGCTTCAGTCGTGGAAAGCGGCGCAGGAGAGGTGGCGCGGGCGCTCTAGGGTTGTTTCGTTCCATAGCTGTCTCTTCATTTGTTCTACTTGCGATTCAGATTCTTAAAGACCACGATCAGATGATACTCTAATGCCGTTTTTCTCCTTGTTCTTCTGTGTTGCTTGTCTGCGGCTCCTTAATACAGCCATGCCACCAGAGCTACTTGCAAATACATTTGCCGCCTCAGGCGTACATAATCCTCACCGAGTTCCCTGTCCCTATTATATATAAAAAAAAGATCATCAAGCGATGTAACAAAAGCATATATGCGACAGCCGTATGTTCTCCCAATGCAATGATTGAATCCAACAGTGAAGTCTCTGGCACTATAGGCCGAAAGAGAGTCTTCGCGGGTATCTAGTTATCTCATCATCTCGTTTTGTTCAATCTTCATATCAATCATCAAGATTAATCGGCCCCTCCAGATCAGGGACATGCCAGAAATTGGCGCGAAGAGCCGTGACACTAAGACCAGTCAGTTCTTATCTAACACACTCGCCCTGAAGAAAAGCGGAGACGTCAATGTCATACCTTGTGTCACCGTTCAACACGGTATGCGCATCCGTCCCCTCCCGACTCGACTGCAGTGTCTTCTTCATCTCCGACAACTCTGCCGCCCACGTAAAATCAATCTCCTTCAGATGCGACCCGCTCGACCCGTTGACGGCGGGTTCGGTGTGTCCATTCACCTTCTTGTCCGCGGCCACTTCGCCATACATGCAACCCCGCGGCCAGTAGTACGGCAAGGCCTCCGTCCAGCGGATGGGTCTGCTCTCCACATCCTCCCGCATCGGCACGTTCAGATTATACAGCTCGACATCCGCATGCCAATGCTCGTACAGGTAATTGACCACCTTCACGGCGTGTCTCGCCGCGGCGCGGATGATCTCATCCGGCTGCGGATCTTTACTCCCGAAGGAAATCGCAATCGCGCGCTTGCTGCAGGTGGCTGCCTCGAGGGCGCCCCCAACCGTCCCGGACGAGAGATTGTACACGGTCGAGGCATTGCGACCATGGTTGGGGCCGGAGATGACTAGGTCGACGGGGGGACGATCCGGGAAGAGATTGAACAGGCCCAATTGGACGCAGCTGGCCGGGGTGCCGTTTCGGATGACCACCCATTCGGGCTGGGTCTCGGTCTCGGTCCCTGCTGAGTCGACGGTCTCATCCCACGTGCCGTCGTCCCGGAAGGCAGACGGGGGTACGTAGGTTGCCTTCAGGGCGGCTTCTATCAGGTGGGCTTTGCCGATCCAGGATCGCGAGGCGGCGGGGATGGCTACGGAGACGAGGTGGCCTGCATCTTGGAGGGCGTTGACGAATGGGTGAATGTAGGGCGAGAGACGCTTCGAGGGCGGTCCATCATCGTTCACCACCTATTTCCTTGCAAATCCGCGGGGGGTTCTGGTTAGTTCTTGTGCTCTTGCTCTCCGGTTTGGATTGGCTGCATTGAATAATTTATTTTTAATTTTTTTTTCTTCCATTTGTCCGTCGTGGTCTTGTGACGGGGGGGGTGAGCCATTGAGGGAAAGGCGACAAGGTTAGAAGTTCCATACCAAGATATGCATGTTGAAGGTAGTTCGGCCTGTCGATCTATAGGGCTTGGCGGAGGTGGGAAAATCAAGTGGTGATGAAATCGGGATTCCGCTCTTCTTTTGGGAACTACAAATGTCTGGACTTCGTTGGATCTCACTCGTCCGGTTCCGCGTTGGAATGATAGTATTTATAGGGCAGACTCTGCTGGGTAAGAATTGAGCCTGGAGTGCCCATTTCCATTACTGCATACCCCGACTACTACCGAAGACATACCGGGGAAAGACTCTCCAAAGTGGTCACGGTGAAGATACTGGAGCTGCGGGGGGTTCCATCTCGGAATGTTGGTATTGTGTATGGGTCATGACTGAGACCATACCACCCGCACGGAACCAGAATCGCTGCGGAACCATGGAAAGATTACCGTACGGCGCCATACCGAACCAGACCACGGGTATCCCGAAAAGAGGCTGCGGTGAAGAACCATCGCACTCGTGGAGAACGACAATGTCACCGTCCGCAAATAACGGTTAGTGAGCAGCTGGGAAACTAATCACAGCCGCGGCAATGGAAATTCTCGAATGGTCAGATGGTCTTTCATCGGAAGACTCTGTTTCAGAGCCATCAGGTGACGTGGGAGACTGCCGGGTTGGGTGATGTTTATATACTCCTGCCTCTCGTCCTTTCTGCAAGACGGGGGATTGTCGAGACAATCGACGATATATATATGTATTATATATACGATACACAATGCTAGACTGATATGGGACTCGACTCCGAAGGGACACATTCTTGTGTCCTTATAGGGTTTGTTCGTCGGACATTGTGTTTCTTGAGATCTTGTCTCACATCACTAGTCCGATCCGATTTGGTTTGGAGGGATGGTCAATTGCGGTCCGGAGTACAGCAATCAATGATAAGATATGATTTGGACCAACAGGTGAACTCCCTGTGCCAGGACTTATACTATTGACTGTTAAGGGGTATATGCATGAATTCATATTGGCGTCTGTTCAGGGCTTCGGGGCTCGTGTGATGCCTTCCTGGATAGGTCTAGCGCCCTGAGACTTTGGAAGCGACGTTAATAATCCATCCTAATTCATAGTTATCCACCGAGTGAGGATCCAGGTTTTGCTTCAGGAGAGGATCAGGAGACGCTGAAGCCGAAATCAGAATTTTTCTAGTTAGTGACTGGGTTCAATGAGCTCCGCATACTCTTTCTGGGTAAAAAAAGAGAAACACAGAGGGAGATTAACCCATATCAATTGCCGGGATACTTTTCTATATATATATCTATCATAGTACAGAGTATACTCTGCCTCAGCGATACGGAAGGTTAACGTGGACCTTAATTTATTACTCCTCCGCCGTTGGACCTATTCCCCTATGTACACTGTACACTACCGGCCATCTGTTCTTTTTTTGTCTTTTACTTTCTTTGTTCTCGCATCGTGAGGCGACTTCGGACCCAGGGGCAACTTGGACGAGGATCATGATCACCAAGATCGGTGGAGCCATCCCAAGAGCAAACCAGAAAGGGTCCTTCTAGAATAGCATGATCCCTGTTGCCGATTGACCGATTGCAGATGATGTTAGGGTTGCTCAACAATGATAATCGGTTGTTGAATCTCTCTTTTTTGTATTCACGATGCCCCGATAGCGGGTCAGGATTGAATGTGCGAGTCAGAGCGCTCAGCCAAGGGCACATGGGGCAATGCTCGTTCCACCAGTCCTCGTTTTCCATGAGATGATTCCGTCGCGTAATCCCAGTCTTGTCATAGTTTTAGTCTCAATAAACTAACTTATTAGTGGCTTCTTTAGCTTCTCTATTTAACCAACCAACCAGAAATAAGGTACGGGTCAGTCGGATGCAGCGGTGGTACAGAAATTAAAGAAGAAAAAAAAAGAAAAAGAATGGATGGAGTCCAGTCAACCTATGGAGTGACTGACTAGCCAGTCTGACTAGTACTGTGTAGGACGGAGTACAGGAAATCATCTCAGCGCTGGACGATCACCGCGCAGTAATCACCCCTGCAAGGTGTCTGGTCGATGATCATTCCCCTCCGCCTGAGAGTTCAGACTGAGATTTAACTCTTATTAACTCTTATACCTGATCCACGCTCGCTGTACTTCGATCGGAAGTAAAAATAAATAAGGAGACCTCTTTCTCCCTCCCCCCACCCACATTCCCTGGAATCAACCACCCAAAGTGAAACGTGGTGAATTACACAATCAGGATTTGGTCTGTGCGGCCCTGAACTTAGCAGTTTTAGTACCGGAAGGCCGATCGCCGCAAAATCTTTGGTGGGGAACAAGTCAGCGCATTGCGAATTTCTACCTCTCATCCAAGTCACACCATCATCTTTTCATCATCTCACCTCCATCGCCTCCCTGCCGTTTCCCGACGAGAGTCATATTGTTCGCTATTTAATAGATTCCGCGTCGTTGTCGGTGCTCTTGGTTGTTGCGAGAGCCTCCGTCCCTGAACCACGACGCATCCTCAACAACACACGCGCCAAGGCCTGGTCAGCTCCGTCGAGGTCAACCACATCTCTCCCTCTCCCCCCCCCGACTCCCATTCCCCTGTATGGACTGCGGGAGTACTGGTACGGCTGCGGGCATTGACCCCAAAATTCTGGATAACTGGCAAACCGACGCTGCTTTTTCGATCCCCCCCTGGGAACATCCGTCATACGAGCAACCGCTAGAGTGGGACAACAGCCAAGACTCGACCCAGGACGATGCTGATATCGTCGAGTTGAATTCCCTTCCGGGGTCCCTGGCGAAAAACCATTCCAATGCCGCCTATCTAGATCAATCCTGTCGTTTCCACAGTGGTGAGAACAGGTGCGGTTTCCCCCTGACCTTCTTGTCCCGTGTATCAAGCTGATGGGGATCACCCTGATAGCAAGACGACCTCACCGGAGAAATTTAGTATCCACGATGGACCGATCGAGGGCACCGTCAGCGGCACCGTCAGTCCGAGAACCTTGCCATCCTCGGCCGACGATAACTTCCAGCTGGATGAGTCATGGCCACATTTTCCACTGTTCAACGCCATGACGGCCGGAATCCCCATGGATGCACCCCCGCTCCTCTATCCCTACAGCAAAGAACCCGCCGCCTCGACGAACACCGTCATTGTCGATGATGTAGGGGAGCTCCCGCAGGGGCATGGGCTGTCGGACATCCCACCGGAGCACTTTTTGGCGTTTCAGAGCATGCCCCAGCCCTTCACCTTCAATGCTCCGGACGTTTGGACGGAGCCTTCTACTAACCCTTCCCCCGAGAGCATGGCGAATCAAACAACCCCAGCTACGATTCCCCTGGGATCGGAACTGCCAAACAAGGAAATGAACATGGTCCGCGATTTTCAGACCCCGTTGAGGTCCCTCGAATCGCGCTGGCTCGACAGTCTGGAATCCCAGCTTCCCTCGAACATGACCTCGCCGGCCTCACTGTCAACTGTCCCGCCGGGCCCGGGATTTTTCAAAGAAGAAAAACCGGGACAGGATGGTTTTCAGTACAAGTCGGAGAGTTCGTCGGTGTCCGGCGACCTTTCTGCTGGTGTATACGAATGTTCCTATTCTGCGACGAGCGACGATGCCCCGGCATTCGCTGATCGACAGCTGGACGAAGAAGGTCCTTGGAAGGGCGCTCAGAAGGATGAGCCTGAGATGGCACAGCCCCTTCCGAGCGCGACGGCGTTTATGGTGAGTGAGACGCCATCAGAGTCATTCTTTGTTGCGGTCCCATCACGGTCTCGGGCATCATCGTCGGCAGCACAACGGTCGACTGTTCGGCCACAGGCCCTTGCACTGCAGTCTGCGGCGACTGTTCGGAAACGTAAACAGCGCGGCTCAAACCATTCTTTGGACCTCGGTCAGCCCAAGCCCCTGCAGATTGTTCAAGAGGATGGCCAGGGCGGATCCATCGCTTCCGCGGACTTCGTCTCCCCGCCACGCGGGGCGCGCCGTAAAGGACCTCTGAGCATGGTCGGTCGGGCAAACGCTGGATTGCGCAGGAAGAACAAGGATACCTGCGTGCAGTGTCGTCTGAACAAGCGAAAGGTATGTTTCCCCCGGGGATCACCCTTTTGACTCGTAGCGAGTACTAATGAGATCGGAACAGTGTGACGGAAACGCTCCGTGCGATGCTTGTCGTCCTACGCTCCACGAGCAACCGTGTGCACGGGCTTGCTTTGCAAACATTGTGGAGTATGGAACATGTAACTATGTCTGTATGTAGACTCTCCATTTGTTGCCATCTTGGTCATCTACTAACAAACCTAGCTCAACGGGCCGTCAACCACCCTACATTGGATAGGACAGGCCGCGTTCGGATGGATATTCCGGTCGAGTTCGACTTGAACGATCTCATCTCTTTCCTCGGTGAACGGCAAGGACGATTCAACATCCGCGCTAGTCAAGCCTGGGGTTCTCTATATGTTCTTGACCTGGGAGAAACTTACAAATTCCTGAGGAGCCTGAGCGATTACAATGGCAACTCTCGGTCGAACTTCCTCGAGTTCATCGACCGACGGATCGTCGAATCGAAAGATAAGTCGAAGAACTGGCTGACCTGTGTCAAAGATTGTGACCCAATGAACAATTTCTATGTGAGTATCCCCAGCCGTCTCATTACGTGAACGAGATTGCTGACGATCTTGCACCGCAGACTTTACTCTCACGTTGGAACAACATGCCCAGTCGTGCGAGCTATAGTTTTGTTCCTCTCCACTCAGGAGCCCAGGAAAGGCCAATGGATATCCATAATGCGGATGATCGACGTGAGATTCTCCTAGCGGCACAGCTTTCCCGCATTGTGTGCCGGATGCTGGAGGTTGAAGGGTTCCGGAAGTTGGAACGAGACTTCTACAACATCAAATGGAAGCAGATCTCCCAGGAGACGCACCTGCGTTTCTTGAACGAGCTAGGAAATATTCTCCTCACACTCCGCTGGCGGGTGTCCTGGTGGAAGCGCCTTGGAGATGGTGGCCAAGAGCCCGACCCGAGCAAGCAGCACTATGTGGATCGGGTCGACCTGCTCTGTCGGATTCTCTATGTGTATTACACCTGCGTGTTGGCTAAGCTTCCTTCCTGGTGCGCCGCCGAAGTTCCCAAGGGGGTGTGGTCGACCTACGCCGACACCGAGAATGCGGTCTGGGATGACTTCCCAGTCGACCCTACCGATGATGGATTCCAGCGATGGATCGACCGAGGCAAGGAGCTGGTCGAACAGGCGGGTGCCCCGAATGGTACCTCTAAGATCGCCCATTAGAAGCGACAAAAAAACCCTAAAAAGGCGAAATCAGCGGTGGACTGGAACGGAAACAAGATTTGAGATACCCTTTACAGCGTCTTTTCTATTCGATTAACATATTTTTTTTCTTGCTTTTTCTTTTGCTTAATTTCCTTTCCCGTCGTCGTCTCAGGTTTATGATTTACGATGATTCGGTGGTTTTTATCTTGGGCTACGATTTGATAGATCGCGTGTACGTATGTGCCTACAGATAGTACATACTTTTCCTTCCCATGAAATACATAGCAGATAGACATAAGACTCTAGACTGTCCGGTCCGGTTCAACACAGGTCCCCTTCTGCATGCTCCATACGACTTCAACCACAGTGTTCAACAGGGTATCTATAAATATCATTACTCGTATCGCTATAGTATACTATCGAACAACCCATCACCTTAGTAAACCTCACAAAACCAAAGCATGTCGAAGAAAAAAATGGACATGTCCAGGAATTGCGAAAGAGATCCACCACACCAGACAACACAACACAACTTATTTCCCACCCTTATTCCCATTCCCACTCTCTTTCTTCTTATCCTTCTTCCCCCCAGCCAACAGCTCCAAATGCCCGGCTTTCTGCGCAAGATTCCGCTCCGTCTTCGTAATCAACCCGGCCGTAAGTTTCTTCAAAGCAAAAATCAGCAAATCCTGTCCCTAGCACCCCAAAAGCAAAAAGCAACACAAGGAAAAGAGAAGGAAAGAAAGAAAGAAAGAAAAAAAAAGAAAAAAAAAAAAAAAGAAAAGACAAACCTTCGTCATCTTCTGCTGTTTAATCAACGACTGCTTCTTCGGCGCAATCTGCCTCGGACCAGGCTTTGGGCCCAGAGCACGCGGCCTAATTCACTCACTCTCATCAGCCTCTTCTGCGCAAACAAACAATATATGTATTGATATTCCCTCATATTATCACCGTCCCAGCTTCCATGCGATAGAGAGAAAAAAAATAAAGGATTGTAGAGTTAGATTTGTAGCGTACCGTTTCGGGCCCGTGCCGGCCTTCTTTTTCAGGGAGCCTTGCACCATTATTTCGTTTTGGTTTCTGTTGGATGGAATGGAGGAGGAAGTGTATGCCGTGGATTGGGAATGTACTGCCTGCAGCACCTTTTGGGGGGAGAGAGAGAGTGCGTTTGGTTTGTTTGGGGGTGTTTTTTGCGAGTTTTTTGTTGCGGTTGGAGATGGGGTGGAAAATCCTTATCGGGGTCTTATCTGTCACGTGAGGGGTTTTCTTCTTTTTGGGGGTATGGGATGATGGGTTTGAGGTGCGGGTATTATTCTGGCTTGTTTTAAGCGGAGGTTCTGGATGGAAAGGATTTTGTTTACTGTTGAGTGATTGGATTTTGTAGTTGGATAGTTTATGCACTATACTATACTCTACTCTACTCTGACCGCACGGAGTTGAACTACGGAAAGTTGAGTGCCGAAAACATGTGCCATTAGAAACAAAATGCTAAATCATGTCCATTGAAAGAGATACATGAGAAGTTCATTACATGAAGAGAAGGTATCACGTGAGTCGAGCGAACGACTCGAGAAGTGGGGCGTGTTTATGGTCTGAGAAAACACACCTGGGTGAGGTGCAACGAAGAGCTGATATTACTATCTGCTAGAAGGCAAACCTTCGGAGAATTAAAAAGAAAAAGGATGGGGGAATTCTTGTGTACAAGAAGACTGGGCCGGTCTACCCGGATCGCCAGGCGCTTAGAAAGCGAGGACAGCAAGAACACCAGCAGCGGCCGCACCGAAGCTGATAGCGTTGCGGTCAGCACCGCTGGTGAACAGAGGAACACCAGGGGTGGTGCTGGAGGCAGTGCCAGAGGGAGCGGCGGTGCTGCGCAGGGTGGTGGGGAGGTAGGGGGTGTTGGTGGGAGAGACGACAGGGATGCTAACGCCGCCAGTGCCCCAGGAGTGAGACTGAGCAGGAGGGGGGATGACAGGAGCGCTGGTCGAAGCGGTAGGAGCGACGGTGGCGGGAGCGGTCTCGGTCTCAGGGCAGATAGTGGTGGTGATCTCATAGGTCACGTAAGAGGTGGCAGAAGAAGAAGGAGCATCGGTGTTGGCAGCGGTCGAGGTGGGAACCTCGGGAGCAGCAGAGGAAGAGGAAGAAGAAGCGCCGCCGTTAGGGTTGGAGATACCGAACTGGGTGGAGTACTGGTACTGGCCAGTTCCCTCAACGACCAGGAGGAGACCGTAGTGGGTGACATCGGCCTCAAGGCTGGTGCTGGGAGTCCATTCGAACTTGCCGTTGTTGGGGATCTGCTCGGCAATAGTCTCGAGGGTCTGCATGTTGGTGCTCTCACCACGGAGAAGGACCAGAGAGACGGTACCCTCGGTGGTAGGGCCCCAGGTGATGGAGTAGGGCTTGCCCACGGGCACGGCCTCGTTCAGACCGGGAGTGTAGATGGGGTTGCCAGTGGGACCCTGGCTGTAGTCAGGGGCGGTGTGGGCAGTAGCCAGAGCCGCGAGGGCAGTGAAAGCACCGAAGATGGAGAAACGCATTTTTGCTTTCTTTATTTCAATTGGTCCGATATCGACGCGAAAAAAAATAGAGATAATCTCGAGATGGTATGCGAGAGCTGGAAAGCTGGGAAGCTGTGTATCAAGGAGTGACTGGAGTGGGATGTAGTGTCTGAGACAAAAGAATGACTGGTGTGCGAAAAGAACGACAACACTGAGAGAAGGAAAAGAAGAAAAGAAAGGACGAGAGGAGGGGAGAGGGGGCAATAAAAAAGGTTTCCAGAGGAGTGTCACCGCAGCTAAGCCTTAGGGTGGTGGCCTTGTCACTGACCCCCTTGGGAAGTGGAATCTTCTCTCTTTCTTGCGGCTCATTTCACCAACAGTGGGGCCATAAGAAATGAAATCAAGATGGAGTACAGGACTCTCCGTCCAATCCTAACGGGCGCGTGCCTGGCATTCGTTGAGACATCCTAAAATGTGGAATGCCAGACGCTAACCTCGCCATCCTCCAGACGTCCAGGCTCCTGAAAGGATGTTACCTCACTGGACCCGGGGCCCTCTGACTGGCTTGTCGCAATTTTAGTGAATGCTAGCTCGACAGATCTTGGAGAAACCAACAAGAACTTTGTGAACAGGCCTGAACTCTGGGAAAGTCCCTGATGCTCATGATTGGCGGATCGCTGGTTCAGTGTCCAGCAATTAGCTGGCACTAACAATAGGAGACTTCACGAAAGTGCATCAAAGAGGGGCCGAAATTGTACTGTAGGAGGGCCCCTCGTCTCGTGGATCCTTTGCCATTTTGGTTAGGGTCGTTAGTATCAAAAGCTAAGGACTAACGGTGCCGAGCTTATGAAGTATATCCCAGCCCTCGTTGTGCACCCTTGCATGGCCGTGGGGAGGCGTTGGTGCAGTGGGATCTCGTAGAATTTTCTTTTCCTCGTTTAATCCAGAGTCAGGAATGTGGCATGTCAATCCATCCAAGAAAGATGTGGAGGTTGTTTCGTCGAGGAATGAACCAGCATAATTCTGATCGACAGAGTGAAGGGAGGACAAGAAAAAAAAAAAAAGAAATACACGCGGGGGGGCGTGATTAATTTTCTTGGCCCTCAGGCACCCAACAATGGGGCCATGACTTCAGCCTCCCGTAGATACAGTACGACGGAGTACAGACTACATACAGGCGACATACCGCGCACATACATACAGCAAGTACCCTGTACCTCGCCTTCATCCCTGTCTCATTCTAACTTCCGGAAAATGTCCGAATTTCCACTTTCACACTCCATCAAATACGCAGTACGATGTCCACCCGTTCATCCTCGACGTCTTTCGATTTCTTGTTGCCAGGATTTTCTCCTTTTCAGGTCGACTCATTACCACTTCCTTTGTCTTCTTCACAGGAATTGTTTTTTCTCTTTATCCGACATCAACAAGATGAGATGGGCGCCACCAGGCTGTGTCGGTCATCTTTTAGCCGCCAGAGACTGAGATTTTTAATTTTAATTGTCGGAGTAATCAAACTAAGTATCTCGTGTCCACTCTCCAGAGGGTAGAGACAGAAATAATAATAATAATAATTATAGTAATAACAATGATTATGAACAGTGGATAATTTTACTGTCCCCCACCCACACAATGCAATGTGCGGTCACGACATTCACCCACACACGGTCGCTGATCGAATCATCTCAGAAACCTTTGTTTGAGACTCAAAAGGTCCCCTGACTCTGATCCTGATCCTTGCGATAAGCCGATCCTGATCATCACAACGGATCCCCGCAAACAGAGAAGATCGCAACTTGGGATAAACGTATGAAGTCATCCCGTGTCTTTTCTCGGGAGGGATGTTCGTTGGCCTTGTCGCTCATTTCTTGTTCCTGACTTGGTCGGTGGAGCCGGCCGACGGTTCTTCTGCCACTAGAAACGTCGGAACGGGGCTGACATTTTGATTACGGGTTTGATTACGGTGCACCAGGGAAATTACCCAATGGCTCAAAGACCAACCATGTCAGGTACAGATCCAACTCTGTGGAAAGAAAAAAGGAAAATCTCCGATGGAAATCGCCGCAACCCAGACTCCGGGGCCAAGCCCAGGCATCGAGCCCTGTGACTCAGGTCGGTCCAATCCGAAGGACTGGAAGATGTCCATTGTCGCTGCAAAGTGCTACAGTGTCACTGACCATGTGCCATAGACTGCAGTGGCGTCCGAGACTAGTGCAGGTGTCTCGGATGCTGATTGCTGAGCCCAGGCTGCCTATCTACTGGCTAGTTCTGCCTATCCCATGGTTCCGCCGGGGTGGAGTTCGCCGGGACTAAAATTAACATAAACAAGTCTGGTGGTACGAGAGCCAAGCATGGCCTGCTTGAGTTGGATTTACCCAATGTCTGATTTGCACTGCCCACCAGCTATCTTTAGCCAGAATAAGAAATCCATGGCTGGTGAATAGAGTATTCGGTGGTGAATTGCTGGTAGATTGACTATAATGTCTTGTGCACGACCGTATACCGAAAAAGGTACTTGCACTTTTCCCTTTGCAAATAGCGGTCAACACTGGACCCAACCCATCCGAAAGCACACTGAACTACCGAAGATGGCATTTGTGCTTTCGAGGCGGACGATGCAACCTTACGAATGTTCACTTTCAGCTCCTCCAGAAACGAGTGTGCTGATTGGTAGTTCCTCGCTTTGATATGGTCTAGATGCGGTACTACTCGTGAATGATGAGACAAGTCCGGGAACTATTGAAATTGGTTTCTTGGATGGAATGGGGATATATTATAGTGGAGGGGCGGTTCCTAATCTTGTACCCTGGGCGCGGATAAACGGTACCTTTCGGGGAACCCGCCAATGTCTCAGAGGTATCTACTGCACCCAGGTAACTGTCTTGGTTTGCAGCCATTCATCGTATGCGGCGGGTCCTCCGAACCGGCCATACCCGCTGCTCTTCCATCCACCGTGTGGCAAGACTGGTTCGTCGTGCACGGTGAGGGAGTTGATATGGACAGCCCTAAACGCTCATCAGCAAGTGCCACGATAAACTCATGCGAGGGGTACTCACCCAGACTCAATCTGCTTGGCCACCCGTAGTCCCCGGAAGAGATTGTCTGTGAAAACTGCCGATGTGAGGCCGTATTCGGTGTCATTGGCCAGCGCCACCGCCTCTTCTTCAGTGTCGACGACCATGAGGGAAACGGTAGGGCCGAATGATTCTGCAGAATAGAGGTCCATATCCTTGGTGACATTGCCCACGATCACAGGCCGCAGGCTATTACCGGACTCCTCCGAGGGATTGCGCTCTCCATAAACAAGGTCGGCACCCTTCGAAAGCGCATCAGACACTAAGTGCTTGTTTTTTTTACTGCAGCAGATGCCACAAGAACCGGTGCCGGTGTATGTTTCCCGAACACGGTCTCGGATGCATCCGCCAGCAGGGTGCGGAATCGGTCAGCGATGGACCGCTGCACGACGATGCGCTCGGTGGACATGCAGATTTGACCGGACTAAAATCGTGTCAACGACACTAGTGACGACCATCAGATAAAGTGTACTTACATGCATGAATGCCCCAAGGCTACAAGACATGGCGGCCCTCTCCAGGTTGGCATCGTCCAATACAATAGCTGATGCCTTGCCGCCCAGTTCGAGGACGACGGGCTTCACATATTTACCGGCAGTGGATGCGATGATAGATCCTACTTGGGTGCTGCCGGTAAAGCTGATTTTGCGAACGGCTGGATGGGCAATAAGAGCAGTGGTCACAGGCGCTGCGTCAGCGGGTCGGTGGTAGACTACATTGAGACATCCTGCGGGAAGACCAGCTTCCCTGAAGATATCGCCAATAGACCAGAAACACTTGGGGGACAGTTCGGAGCCCTTTAAAACTGCTGTATTGCCTGCGGCAAGTGGAAGCGCGATGGCGCGGGTCCCAAGTATATAGGGGGCGTTCCTGAATGCAGATGGTTAGTAACGACCAAACTTATCTCTGTGCTGATTGATGCTTTGCGTCTACAGTGGGAAGTACATACCATGGCGCAATTCCCAAGACCACCCCGTAAGGCTCTTTGAAGACCATCGCACATTCGCCCTGTTCGGATACCGATGGGACTGAGCCCTCGATGGATGGAATTCGTGCAGCGAAGTCCTTGATGAATGCGGCGCCCATCTCGAATGTCTTCTCCACGAACATTCTGCCCGCGCCCGTCTCCTCCATTTGATACTTGATCAATTCCTCTTCGGGAAAGCATAATGTCTGCCGCCTTCGTGAGGATATCCCTACGATCGTACGGCTTTGTCTTGCTCCACGCCGGGAAGGCTGCCTTCGCTGCCTCCACCGCACGGTTGACATCGTCAACGGACGCACTGGCACAGCGGTCAATGACTTCACCCGTCGCCGGGTTGTGCACATCGAAGATAGTCTCCGTCACGACCGAGTTATTGTTAATGATCAGCGGGATTACCCCTTTGCTGTTCGTACCGTTTGCAGACATCCTTTTGATTTTTTTACTCTCCCCTTGCTGAATCAGCAGCACCCGTGAAAAGGAATCGAACTATTCTTAGTCAAGTGAACGGCTTTCCTAACGGAGCCAAGGTAGGGCCGCGAGGGGAGAGGTGTGTTATATTTAAAGGGGGAAAAGGACGGGAGAGCAAAGAATGGTCCCAGACCGACGGCGCAACCCAAAAAGACAGTTCCCAATAAGCATGGCCGTTGGAGACACTTATGCATCGACTAAAGTGAGGGGAGAGAATTTCGGTAACTTTCCCGGCAGTGGAGCCGAACCTGTACAACTCCCGGTCAAGGGAGACGACGATCTGGAGCCTTCTTTGGGGCTCGTTGTGGGTGTTACGGTCTTCTCATTCGCTCCTGGGAGTGGTACGCTTTGCAGCCCAATCGAGGTTTGGGGAGTTTGTCTTTCCCCCCGGAACGTGATGATCACATCTTGTCTTTGTTCGTTGCGTCTTTCTTGCAAATAAGATTAACTAGGGGGGCAGGACGACAACAAATCAACTTCACTCTCGGGGATGGTCGTGGTTGCTGGTGCGGGACAACGATGTCAACACCATCAACACGCTGTCCGACTCTGACTCGTTTCTTTTTGTTCCGATACCATTGATATCAGCGCTGCTGGCTAGGATGATGTTCGAGGCACGTCACTAACCTCCAGCATGCATCATGGGCGACTTGCATTGGAATGCGGACGCGGTGGGGTTGGACACAGCAATCAAGGGCCAATCACAACCTGCTGTCACTACATGATTCATTGTGCCCAATTTGCCGCCATGCTGCTCCGCGCGGTCTTCTGTAAGGTACCCCAACCTGCCGTACACCGTAAACCCCTAAATCCGGGAGAGCGAGTTGGGGTCCTTGTGAGTTCTGTTGGTCGCTACCGTAAATGCTTATTCCGTAAACCCGAGGTGGGTCTTCCAGACCAATACTCCATACCGTTGGCAATAAGATGATCTCCTGAAGTGGTTTCTGATATATTGACGCCCCTGGACTCGGGACTCGGGCCCTCTCACGGAAAACTGAAAGGATGGCAGGTGATCGACGCGATCTCGTGATTTCACCCGAAAGTAGCTGCAGCGTCCAATCTACCTTATCTTATTATGTATCTCTTCTGCCTACATCGTGTTTGAATCACTCCCCACTGGCTAGGAAAAGCGACCAGGATATTGCGAGGGTCTTCAAAGTTTTAATGTCTTCCAGAAAGAGAACAGAGCAAAAAATCCCTCATCTGCTTCGGCCATCTCCAGCTGCCATGTCTTGGCCCAATAATTGATCGCAATGAAAACTTAATCTGAAATAGATTGAATTTTGACAACTTCCCTAGTTGACATAACCGTGGATCCGCCGTGCATCGATTCTTCGAAACTTTGTCGGGGACCTTCATTGCACGCGATATATCCGCCCGAAGCTTGGAAATCCGTCTCCCGATGAATCGGGCTTCAGAACAAAGTTTGTTTCCGTGTTCCCATGGCTTCGGTGGTCTCGATTCCGATATGCAATGATCTCTCTCTTCAAGGTTGGGAGTGACGAAGGATCCACATCACATAATCAACAAAAAAATCATATGAAAAAAAACCGAAATCTGTCTGTTGCTTGCTTCTATGCTAAGTAAAGATAGAGAGGGGATGCCATAGACCAGTAAGTGGATATCGTTGGATTATATTGTGCAAAAGATCAGAAAGCCCAAACACCCGCCATGCATGCTTCTAGACGAGCAAAAGCCTCGTCAACACTCTCGAAAAGAAATAAAGAAAAAGAGGAACAAAGAGTAAAAAAAGAAAAAGAAAAAGAAAAAGGAGGTAATCATCTAGTCCCTTACGCCAGCCATGCCTTTTGATCCCTGAATGCTTCCCTTGCCGTGGCGCATCATAATTTGCTTCCCAGATAAGCTTTCTCGACCGATAAGCAATTATTGGTCAATCACTTCCCAGCCCAGATCTTCGTCTCCGATGTCGACGCCGCCGAATTGCTCATGACCATATCCGCAAAGGGGCATGCCGAGATCGTGGAAGGCGCAATGCTGGGGGCTATACTGCTGTGCACACTGGAGCGATCGTCGTCGCTTGAGCTGGCGGACGTGCTGCTGCTGTCGCCCAGGATCTTCTTGTCGCCGAGGAATCCCTCCCGCTCGTCCAGGGTCATTTGCGACATCTCATCAGCATATTCTTCGCCGTCGCGGATCCGCCACTTGGCGATGAGGTCGTTCTGGATCCAGATGATTTTGCCGATGGCGCGGACGAGGGCCACCTTGCGCTGCAGCTGCAGGCGCGGGTGTGACATCAGCGCTTCGGTGAAGATGTCTTGGATGAAGCCCAGACAGGCGCCCATGTGGATGTACTCGATGTTGAGGGGGTGCATGCGTTCTTGTGCGGCGTGCATCAGACTGATCAACCACCGTTAGATCCCGAGATCAACACCAAAAGTGCAATGGTCATGTAAGAGGATACTCACCCAACTTTATTGAGATACCGCCAGAACTCCGTCTGGGTGGGATCCGAGCAGAGCTTGGTCAAGTACCACCGGAGGAACATCTTCCGGCGCAAGATCTGCGGACTCTCCTCACTGTAGAACTCTTCGATCGGTCTCTCGTCGGCCGTATCCCGGGTGTGGAAGGCCCGGGCCGTGATATCCTGCTCCAGGAGTTTCTTGTAGACGATGTTGACGACGGCGGGGATGAGGGCTTTGATGTACTTGGAGCCGGTTGTCAGGGCTTCGACGTCAGCTGATGGCGATGACCGCGTTAGCATCCGTTTACGACCAATGATTATCCACGAGATATAACATCCACAGTAGAGCATACCAGAATTGAAGTCCAGGAAGTCTTGGAGATAGTTGATGCGGGCCTCTAGCCGGGTGTAGAGTGCCTTTCGGTCGACATGTTTTATGGGCCGACTGGAGTCGAAGTATAGTCCGTCCATCTTGGCTTGCTTGGAGTAGAGTAGGGGAGAGAGATGAATGATGTAAATGGTTTCCTGTTGGAAGGATTGAACTAAGAAGCAGGAGAGATCTTAGTGACGAACACCTGGGGTTATCTTGGAGTTATAGATAGGAAAGATAGAAGGATGGTAGAAGAATCTAAGAAACGATGATGACTCAAGACCTGGCCGGAGACGTGAGGTATTGCATGATTATATAGATCTATGGAGACCTTGGTTCACAGGATTGAAATAATAAAATAATAATAATTAAGGGTTTAATAATAAAAATAATTAAATGGAAATAATTAATGAGCCCAAAGCCAGGACAAGGAAGCATACTATCAATCCACACGGAAGCCTTCCATGGTATCCAATGCCGGAAAAAAAAAACAAAACGCTCATAGGCAGATCATTTCACCCTAAGAATGAAAGAAAAGGGCAGAAAAAGCCAAAAACACTGATAAATTCAACTCCATTACGAGGCGCATTTGTCAGGCCAGAGAAAAGAAAAGGATCCCGAAACCTGGCGATATTACCTACCGAGGATAACAGGCTTTTTTTTTCTTCTTCCTCTTCCCCAGTGGTCTGATGCAGGGCTGTACGACGGGATACTACTGTGCACTAGTATGTCTTTGCTATTTTTTCTTTCGTTTTTCTTTTTCCTATGATCCGTTCTATGGAGGGATCTTCCCGGTCTCTCTCCGGATTCAGCTGGTGAGCGCCTATTCTCTTCATGAAACACGTGGTGCAGTGGGTCGAAGGATGTGCCTATTAATTTTCGCTTGGACGTGATTGGGCTTTGGAATTGATGTTGATACTGAGTCAGGGTCCGCGACGGTCATCCAGATATCCAGGTATGGGAATTATCGGAGATGGAGATGCGAATGACGTGCAGGTCGCTTGTCTGATTCTCTGATGCTCGGCAGGATGAGTCTGCGAATCTCGGTTTCGATACTACTACTTGTACTGTCTCTATCGAATTCTACCGACTCGGGATGGAGTCCCCGAATGTCAGATCCAGTGAACGAACCCCTTTAATGGATGTGTACCTCGCCTAATAACTGAAGTCTCTACGACTGTCGAGGCTGTCTCCTTCTACCGACGACGTTCCCCATGTCTCACAGCGTATACGGGGCATTCCGTCCTACTAGTTCGAATGCCAGACAGAAATGGATGCCTGGATGGGACTTGTCCTCCACTATTCGGGTCCGATTCCCGACCGAGTCTCAGGGAAGACATTTTATTTTTATATTAATTGGGTGGACTAGTGCACATTTGTAGTAGTTTATTCCGGGTAGCCCTCAACGGTTGTCTCGCCAGGCTGACATCATCCCGCAGCGGTGTAGTTTTAGAATGCGTTAGGAGGTTAATCATATCGAGTTAGCAGAGCGACGCGTAGCTATCGGAGGTGGGAGAGAGATCTCAGCCTCGATCCGTGATCCCCAAGTGGCATCGAAGCCGTGGAAGGATTGGAAGAAAAGAAACAGGAAGCCTATACCAGCCCGACCAGGGTCTCAACCAGGGAAGAAAAATGTCGTGTGATCGGAAAATACAGCCAGAGGTCTTCCTCTCTCTGTCTGTCTACGGGTAAACTAAAGAGAAGTGGACCAAATGGGGTGATTTTTTGCTCTGAATCCGAGCCCCATCGAAAGTTAATGCCATTGTGGCCTGATTCTGGGGCTCCTCCGACCCCCGTGACTAACAACACGATAATCGTTTTTTTTGTTGCTCTGGATCTTCGCTTTTTCCCAATTAAGCGATCCGACCTCGGTTGACGGTTCAAGGAACGCAATCAATTTTGTGATCTTTTGACTTCGGTTACGGTCGCGAAGGATTCGCAGACAGCGGAAACGTCCAATTTGTTGTGCATTTAGACTCGCGGCGCGAGGGATATCAGAGACGAAGTTTGGTCGTGGCTGGTCAAATACGAGCCTCTTAATTCGCCGGTTCCTTCGGTACCATGATCGGCATCATGAAGTCAATTCAATAGCTACATGGAATGTGGAACCTCTTCCTCGAAGGATTGTCCTTTTTTTTTTTTTTTGTTCCTTCTCAACCTCCTGTC